GACGACGACGACGACGACGACGACGACGGCGAACCCCCCTGGAGCGTCCCGGCGGCCGCCCGCGCCGCTGCCGCCGCTGCCCCCGCCGTCTGCAGCGGGCAATGGCAGTCCTGGTCCGTTCGCGGCAATCCCCCCCAGTCCGTGCCTTTTCCAAGGACGGGGCCTACGGCGGGCCCGTCTGGCGCTCTCCACGGGCCGGGAAGGGGCCGTCCACGGACCGGGGTGGCCCCTTCACGGACCAGAGGGGGTCCTCCTCCTCCTCCTCCTCCTCCTCTCCTCCTCCTCCTCCTCCTCCTCCTCCTCCTCCTCCTCCTCCTCCTCCTCCTCCTCTTCCCTCCTCCCTCCCCCCCCCTCCCCTTCCCTTCTCCCGCCTCCCGCTTCCCCCTCCCAGGCCCAGCGGGCGGTTCGGGTGGGGGCTTGCTGACGCGCCAAACCTGGTGGGTCCGCGGAGGGTCCCTGGGAGCCCCGTGGGGCCCCAGGGGCGCTCCAAGGCTTGCGTTCGACGACGCGTGGCCCCCGCATGCAACGAAGTGCGTTCGACGACGCACGAGTGCGTTTGCGACGACGCGCGACGACGAGCGACGAAATGCACGCGAAGACATGCGACCAGCACGTCTACGACGGCGCGCGACAACGAGAGTCGGGAAAAGTAGGGGCGGGGGTCACCTCCCCCCATTTTCGTTTTTGCCTCCCTGCCTTCCGTTCCGATTCCGATCCATCTTGCCGCGATCCGGCTTCCGACTCGATCCGGCGCGGCCCTCCCGACTTCTCCCGATTTAGATATGGCGGCCGACTTCTGCCGATTCGATTTCCGGGTCGATCCGATTCGGCTCCCAGGAGGCACGACTATGTCACGCGCCTGCGTTTGTAACGACGTCCACGATCTTCCAGCGTCCCCCCGGCCTGGGCTACAACCTGAGCGCGCGCGAAGCACGCACTATGGGTGTATTGATATATAGGTATATATATATGTATAGATGTATATATACATATATATATAAATGTGTGTATGTGCAGAAACATTCGCAACTTGCAACCAGCCATTGTTGTGTGAACTTCAAATTGAGACTTTGCACCTTTACGTGTATTTGTGTATATATATACAAGTGTATCTTTACATACATACAGAGAGAATATCTGAAAACATACGGCCTGTGAAACACAACATTAGACGACTCGCGCCGCGATAGGACATGTTGTGACATTTCGGTCGTCTCTTCTGCGCCTGCTGGCCGTCGTGTGTGGCCTCTTTTGGCCTTTTGTTTATGTGCCGTACTGCTGCATGGTCCCTCTCCTTCGCCGTCGCTGCTCCTCAATACGAGTTTCCGCCTGCGTCTGCAACCGCCGATTGCCTTGCCGATGCCGTGCTCTGTTTCGCGGGCATTGTTGGGCCTGGAAGCTTCGAAACACAACGGGCACGTTCGGAACGCTGTGATTTGTTCTGAACTATGTTTCTGTTCTTTGAGGCTGCGGAGCAATCTTCAAAGCGTTTCCAGGACACCAGCGGGCCGCGCCTTGCATTCGTGCTGCATTGTCTGAGAGGTCTCTTGGGCCGTCTTTGGGATGTCTCATGCTATTTTGATGGGTTTGGACCGTGTGGGAGCCATCTTGGAGCCACCTTGGGCCATCATGAAGTCATTCGGAGCGCTTCCGATGCTGCGGGGCCTTGTGGCCTAACATTCAGACGGGGAGTCCCCGCGCGTTCTTGATGAGATGATGGGTTTGCTAGTGCTTGTTGGGGGCTCACGTTGCTGTCCCGAAAGGCCATGGAAGGGGCCGGGAGGAAGATCAGGAGCATGAGAAGGAACGCATAGGGGGGTGGAAGACTTGGAGGGGGTTTGGCCCAGGCCTGTCCCCCCTCGCTGCATCAATGGGAGCAACGGGGATGGAGTATGTACAGTGCCGTTTTTAATACATGCTCCGCGTGCGGACCATGTATTAAACATGCAGGGATTTAGTATCAAAAACAATGAGGAGTTCATGCATACATTCATTCTCATATTAATCACGCATTAAACTCCTACATATTAAA